TCGTATAAGCATATTATTACAGACATAGAGAAAATTAGTCAGTCATAAATGGAAGCATTTAAAGCAGAGGTCTCTGGGGAGCACCAGTGCTTTTTATTTTAAATTTTTCTATACTATTTGATTATTTTCTAATCTAGCAGCTGGTATTATTACAATGATTGTTTTTCCAAATTTTCTACGGTGAGCACATATTTCATAATGTAAAATCTTTTATTTTAAATTTTTTTATACAACATATACCAAATAGAAAAAATAAAAGGAAATCCACGCCTAGACACATCGTAGTGAAACTGCAGAACATCAAAGACAAAGAGAAGATCTTGAAAGCAGCCAGAGAAAGGACAGATCACCTACAAAGGAACAACAGACAATTAGAATGACAGGAGTTCACTCAACAACCATGGAAGCAAGAAGGCAATGGAATAGTATATACAAGGTGCTGAGAGCAAATAACTACTGATAACCTAGATATGGGTATCCAGCAAATCTACTGCACAAGAACAAGGAGAAACAAAAATGTTTACAGATAAAAGGGCTCTCGGGAAATTTACCAACAGACCTGTTCTAAATAAATATCCGAAGAATATACTATCCAAAGAAAACACGTCAAAATATTGTAAAATAACAATCCCCAAATACCATTCAAGAGAAGTGAGAACAAAAAGTGATAAACACAGGTATATCTGAACAAACATTGGGTAAGACAATATAACAGTGCCCAATTTATGCATTTTTAAAAAAAGACCAAAATGAAACATTAGAAACATAAGTCAGGAAGATAAAGACTGGTTCTAAGGTATCCTAATGTCCTTTTACTGTCTGGGAATGGGGTCAGAATATTAACTTCTGCAACAGTCAGTTCAATTTGCTTGATAAAATTTCAATGGTAACCACTAAAAGAACAGAAATAGTGTAAATTTAAACTAGTAAAAAAAATGCACAGCTGGAGCGATCAACAACAGTAATTAATGTATCTTAAAAAAAGGCAAAGGAACAGGAAATAAGCAACTAAAAACCAAAAAAGATGACAGAAACTAAGTCCAACTACGTCAACAGTTCTAATAAATGTGAATGCTTTAAAGTCTCCACTTAAAAATAAATAAATAAATAAATAAATAAATAAAATAAAGTCTCCATTTAAAGACAAACCCAGATTGGATTAAAAAACCAGTAACCTAGCTTTATGACATTTAAGAGATAAAAATGCCCAAAGCATAAGGACAGGGAAGACAGAAAACAAAGGCATGGAAAACAGAGATATGAGGCAAATACTAACAGACAATATTAAAATCAGAAAAAACTGACATTAAGATAAAAGCATCATGTGATAAAGAGGGTTAAAGATAAAACACTCAATCCATCAGGAATATGTAACAAATTTAAATATGTATGCACCTAGTTTAAAAGCCTCAAAATAAATGAAGCAAAAATTGATAGAAGCATAGAGAAATTGAGATAACTTTGCCACCTTGATGGACAGTCTCAAGAACTTCTTTCAATTACTGGTAGCTCAAGCAGACCAAGAACTCAGCACAGTCAAGATTTGAACATCTTCACTGCAGAGCTTTATCGACTAAACACAAAAATTTCAAGCCAACAATTTCTTCCAAAATGTACATGGATGATGTACAAAAATCCACTGTCTTAAGTCTTAATAGTTCAAAGAATATGTATTGTATATATCACATTATTTGACCACAAAGCAATAAAGAGTATAAAAAAAGATTAAAAGACAAAAACAAAACCTCCACACTGTAAATTCAAAACACTTCCAAATAACTCATGGGTCAAAGATGAAGATCTTAATGGGAATTAAAGATACTTAGAATGATAATGAATAAAGTAATGTATCAACATTTATGATATGCAGTAATATTGTCACATCAAGAGAAATTTACAGCTTAAATGTATACATTTGAAAAATTAAAAAATGGATATATTAAAAATAAGAGCAGAAACTATGAAACAGAAAACAATGACACCAAAAGAGAATCAATAAAGCCAGAATTACTGTTACTACGTCTTTGAAAAGCCTGACCAAAAAGCTTCTGGTGACAGACTAATCCCAGACAAAAAGAAAAAAACAAATATTGCGAGGTTGGTAGGCTAGTGAAAATACAGAGGCTGGAGAGATGAGAGAACACTATCAACAACTCATGCCAATACATGTGCGTATCTAAATTTTAAAAAACCTGTCACAGACAAAGCTGTAAAGCGGTGAGTAAGCACATTAACTAAAGGCTGTTTGCAGTGTTACCTTGCACTTAGGGTCTAATTAATCCAGTAAGAGTAGTAATAGTTCTCATCAAAAGAGGTACTTAATACCATTTCAATTTTTTAACCTTTTACTTTAAAACAAAATGATATAGAAAACCACACAAAACAAGTAATAGCTTAGTGAATTTTTATAAGGTAAAACACTACCACCCAGGTCAAGAAAACAGAACCATGCCAGCCACCCCGAAGCCTCTTCCTGAGCTCCATCCCAATCAGTCCTCTCCAGTAACCACATTGCCTTTCATAGAAATAGCCCAGTTTCTTTGTGGTTTTACCACACAAGCATGCACCCCTAGACACTAGAGTTTCATTTTGCCCCTTTTACTTTGTCTTTTAATCTAGAAGTCTTGGCTGTTTGACTTATACAGTGTCCTGAGACTGTACTTCGCCTGCTGCACTCATGGTACAGCTCAACCAACACAGTTCTCTGGCGTTGGTACTTCCTGCAAGATGACTGGAGGATCAGAGGTTTGATCACTTGGGTTCAAATCCTCTGGCAAGACTAAGGTAGTGTTTTATTCTTTCATTGGGAGGCACAAAATGACTTTTTCACTTTTAACAAAATGTGTTAGTAGCCATTAATGATGAGTGCCTAGATTCATCAATTCATTTTTAGTTGCAAAAAAACCCTCTGTAAGTCTATCATTTTGTTTTTACCTACTAGTCAGAATGACTTTAAAAGATGCTTCCCTCATCTACAACAAGAATTGGCAAACGTCTTCTGTTTTAGGTTGTGTGGACTACATGGTCTGTTCCAACTATTCAATTCTGTGGTTGTAGTACAAAAGTAGCCATAGGCAATACATAAATGAATGAATGAGTATGCTTGGTTCCAATAAAACTTTATTTACAAAAATAGGTGCTAACTCCTGTACCACTTGTACCAGTAGTACCATTATTAAAGAAAAGACAGCATAAATGTTCAATTATTTTATTATTTATCTGGTTTTCAAGACAATGAATTAGTATCTATTATTCTCCAGAAGATGACCAATTAAGGGTTTACTTTTTAAAACTATTACCCTGAAATCACAGACATAAACCTGTTTGATGGACTTCAATCCACTGCAATTCCTACTTTTAGTGGAGCACAAATCCCAGTTTCCAGCTGCTCTTCACAAACTGAACCACTTAACACCTTCCAGTTAGTCCCTATTGGCTGTTTGGGGGTTTCCCCGTACTAGGTCCATCATTTATTCGAGTTGCACATAATGCTGACAGGCAAAACTGTTTCTTTTTAAAAGAGAATATGAAGAGAGAAATACAGGATGGATTCACAAGGCATCATAAAACAAGCAAATGTTAAATGAACCTGGAACAATTTAAAGGACACAGTTGAGGGCTGGCCGAGTGGCTCAGTTGGTTAAGAGCTTGCTCGCTCGAGAGTGCGAGCTCTGAGCAACAGCAGTTTGATGCCCGGCCCAAGCTGAGCTGCTGATGAGCTGCCAACAGGTGGCAGGATGGCTCAGCTACAAAAAATAAATAAATAAATAAAAATAAAGGACACAGTTGAAGAGGAATGAAAAAAATGTATCTCAGCACTGGAAAAGTATAAGTTAGAAATAACACAGTAAGCATACAGTTTCAGTGGGATTTTAAAATTCAGGTCTTAGAAGACAAACAGAAGAAACCAGAATCTTTCCTGATGAGAACAGAAAGAATAGGGTGGAGAGCAGTGGGGGAAGGGCTGAGCAGACCTAGGGGCCAGATAACAAAGCTGCCCAAAGGCCAAGCTGATGTCATCAGTCATGGACCATAACAAGGGTGGGGGAGACACTATAAATGCTCTCACAGAGTCCCACAATCAGTCCCACTTCAGATGGACAGTGTTTGTGCAGAAGCTGGGGATGCAGGGTTGAGAGAACAGGCTGGATAGGTGTTGCCTTACAGCTACCTCCACAACCGTGCCCCCCCACCCCCAACCACTAACCCCTGACCTAACGAGGTCCTGAGGAAGTGTCTCAGAACACTGAAACCCCGTGGAATGATATGGTGGAATGATATCGGTAAAGCTTCCTCTAACGCTGAGACCCGGTGGAATATCGGTCATCTCCCTTTGTTTGTATAGGATGCGGCAGAATGGTGCTCTCCTGGGGGTTGTGCAGGCTGTGTGAAGGCATAGTGCATGTTGGAGCACAATGGAAGCTGGTTAATGGAAAACAGCCTTATGGCACGTAGCACACGGATCTTTGAGTCATTCTGTTTCACTTCCTTTGAAATTTTCTCAATAAAAGCCATGCGAAGACCCGATTGGGGGCTCAGTCCACGAGGCTGATACTCCTGGTCCCGCTTGAGCCTTATCTCTGTCTCCTGTGCTCTTTCACTCTGCGTCGCCCCTCTCGCTTCCCATGGCCCTTGTCACGGGGGTGCGGGACGTGACAGACAGGATGAACAGAAAGAAGGAAACTATACTGTGGATAACCTGTCTTGAAGAAGGCACTTTCTAAAGATCAGCAAAATGCTGGTAACATTAAGGCTGGGTGACTGAATTCATGGAAATTCATTGCATTATTCTTTCCACTTCTGAACATTAAAAATTTCCATAAAAAGTTTTTTAAAATTCTGAAAGATGTAGGTATAGATTCCTTATTGTCCCTTATTATATTTTTGGATCTAATGAGTGCTTTTCTCATAGCATAAAATTTCATAAACACCCTCTGGAAAACACTGAACGCCTCGTGAAGAAAAGTGTAACAGAGATTGAAATATCATTAAGTTATTACCTTGAAGTTTTTCTATATTATCTCCTTTTGTTTCCTCTTCTTTAATAGGCGGACTTATTCTAGGTGTTCTGCTTTGCCCCTGTACCGACTCTGCCAGCAGTTCTTCTTGAGAAGTTCGAGTTCGGGGAGCAACTGGAAGTGTCTGTTTCTGAGAGACTTTTATATAAAAAGCAAGAGATGAAAATGCAAATGCAGCAACACATCAAAACTCAACAGTGAATATGTCATTACACATAACTAACTGCCTCCTGGGGTTTAGAACATGTGAGGTGTTTGAAACGGTTCATAGGTACCACCTCATTTTTTTTTTTTTCAATATTCTCAAGAGACAGATACCTGACTTAGATCCTGTTTGTATGTAAACAATTATCTATACATTTTAAACCACATGCCATATATGCAATGAAGCATGTATGTATTCATTTTTAACAAAATGCAGCTGTTTCGTGATACTGTAACAACTTGTAATTTCAATAACCTAGGTAAACAAAGAATTTCAATGCTTTTTCTTAAACAACTTGGGCAATTTTCAACTATTATAAAAGCGAGAAATTACAAGGTCACAGTGAACACAATTCTCTAAATTCCTCATCGTTCCACTCAATATTGCTGATAGACCAAAAAGGGAATATAAATAGACGAATCGTTGAAGTGCAGGCCTTTGCCTGATAATCCTTATCCTACACACCAAAGCCTGTTTAATTTTATGTGCAAAGGTTAAGTGAGGGATGAGGGGAAGCAGGGGGACAGATGACTATCAGGATCAAAAGTTTAGAGCTTACAGTTTACTTCACTTTAGGAAAGGGTCAGAGAGAGAGATGCAATGGAAAAGCAGAACAATGCTAAAGGAGCAGTCATCAAATCTGCAGCAACAATAAAAAAATTTAAAGTGGGTAATCATTACAGCTTATTGGTAACTTTTACACACTGGCTCTGCAAAATGGGGCACAGAGTACAGACAGAATAGCAATATGGCACCCATCGTGTGGTTTGCATTTCAGAATAAGCTTTCTGTATAACCAGATTATAGACGACTCATCTCCTTTGTTTTAAGAACATGTAACACTTTTATATTCTTCCATAAAATGATTGTACTTCTAGGATTAGGGCAGGAATGAGTCAATTCTCTGCCTTATAGTCAATTAACAGGTTCCACTGAAAGAAACCAACCTGTTCATACACTAGACAAATTTTTCTAACTTCAGCCTCTTAGTATTTTAATTTTGTTCCCTTTCACACGATGAATTCATATCTAATGTTGACTATAATGCTATGAATACGAAAGTCCCATCTTTTACCAAAACTCCCTTTAAAAAAAATTTTTTTTTTTTTTAAAGATTTTTATTGGGGAATTGGGGGAAGGGGAACAGATAAGTTGCTGTTGATTTGTTCTTCAGTCTAGTTGTGGAGGACGTTGCTTCACTGGCCCAAGTTGGCACCATCATTGCGCTCTTCCCGGGCGAGGCAGATCAGTCGCCGGCTTCTGGACGGCCGCTCACTGCGGCTGCTGGCCGCTCACGCTGGCTGCTGGCTACACACGGTAGCCCATGGCAACCCACTGCCACAGGGGCTGCAGCCTACGCCATCGCCGGCGACTCACGGCAGCCCAGCTCCAGGTTGAGCTGTTGTTCAGCATCTTAGCTGTGGAGGGCAGTGTCACTGGCCCTCATATGTGGGATCCGAACCGGGGCCCTCTAGCATCCCAAGCCAGTTCTTAACCATCGCGCCACTCGGCTGGCCCTCCCTTTAAAATTTTTATTATAGATTTCACACACTGGAAAAGGGTAAAAGGCATTACAGTTACCCAAAGACCTAAATTCCACTGACAGTTGGGAAAGTTTCTCAAACTAGTCCAATCTCCTTTTAAAACCATTCTTCTCTGACCCTCATCTTGGTCTTGACATCTGGCAGGTATCTTTATTTTACCACAACTTAAAAGAGCAATCATTTCTAGCTTACTCAAGGTACAGAAACCCCTTACTTAATGAAAACATAATTCATTTAAATTACCTGTAGAATAGTTAGTTGTTTTTGTTACAGATTCTTGAGCTTCTGATATAGCCTTCAAAATCAGATTCTTGTTAGCCTGTTTAGAAGGTGGAAGTGAAGGTCTAAAAAAAGTTAAGAAAAATATTTTAATTATAGATTTGAGTTATGTGCTAGCCATCTATTATGCCTTTTTACTAAGCCTTCTCTTACGTTTTGAACAGCCTAGCTGTAGTTTTTAGAAAATGCCAACTATACTGGACCATTGTAACTTTTTAAAATAATGAATCTGACCAACTGTTATACCCATATTAGTTTTTAATATTCTCTGCAATTTCTCCAATTTTAAGCGCAATTTCTCTTTCATTAATATGTTTCTCAAAAACCAATGGAGGGCCGGCAGAGTGGCTCAGATGATTATGAGCTCGCTCAAGAGTGCGAGCTCTGAGCAACGGGGTCGCCAGTTCAACTCCCGGCCCGAGCTGAGCTGCCGCTGAGCTGTTAACAGGTGGCAGGATGGTCAGCTAAAAAAAAAAAAAAAAAAAAAAACCAATGGAAAAGTCTTACATGCTACTGAATTTTTATTTTCATGGTATCCTCTTCAAGAAACCCAGAAGACTCCATTGAGCATTTAAAGGTTAATCTAGACATGTCCAGGTACCTCCTTTCAGGCTTTGCTGGCACTGACACACTGCTGGAGATGCTTCCTGTTCGGGACCCACAATCTTCATCTTCCTCCTCCTCTTCTCCATCATGATTGAATTTTTTTACTTTAACAACTGAACTTACCATAGGCAACTTTCTCTTCCGAAAGTTTTCTTCCTGCAATCAGATAATTCACACTTACCTAGTCTCAAAAAAAATAACAAAATTCTATCACAGAATTTTTTTTTCTTTTTAAGTAAAAGTCAATCATAGTAAGAATTCATGGCCTCTTTCCTAGCTTCTTATAAAAATATGAATATTATCCCTAATAGCCAACCTTCAGCTAAAATAAAAACTAGTGCTTTACATTCATTTATAAACAGTAGCATATAGCACTGCTGAGGGAACTAATAAAGCGGAGTTCCTCAGTTCTTTACTAGTAACTGCCATGAAAAATCTAAAATTCACCTAAAGTCCCCCAAAAACTATAAGGTAAAGTTAAAACTATCTCACATGTTGGCATCCCAGAAAAGTAAACAAGATGTAAAGTATCTGTAGAAGCCAGTCATGTAGAAAAAAATCTGAATATATTATATGTTGAGTAGCACAGAAATCAGTTTAAAATAAACTTGCAATATGTGGTTAGTTATTTCACATGCTATTTAGTATGAAGAACTGCTGATTTTCAGCCTAATAAGCCAAAGTTTAAAAGTAAATACAAACCTCAATACTCATTTTTTCTGAGTTGTTTCTGAAGAAGGGACTGTAAGTCTCTTCTAAACTGTTAAGCACTTCTGGTTCACACAAACGTCCTGTTTCATATACTCGGCTGTTCTGTATATCGAGTTGCTTGCTAACATGAATACTGTTTTGCTGCTGTTGAAACTGCAACCTGTTTAAATGAGCCCCGCTATCTGCAGTTCGACTTGCAGGTGGTCGATAAATTTCAATAGAAGGACGAGCTGAACCATATGTAAGTGTCACTGTAGGTTTTTTCTGAGATAAGGGATTCTCCTGCACAAAATTGAGGTCTTCATCAATGAGATCATCTGGTTCCGGCTTAATATCAATCACATCTTCCGAGGGTGCTGGCTCCCTCAGAGGTTTCACTGTTGACATTAATCGGGTTGCAGCTCCATCGTCATAAGTCTGTCTATTAAACACACACACACACACACACACACACACACACACACACACACACACACACACACACACCATGTTACAACCAACTTAGAGCAGTATCTTCAAATAGTCAAATATTTACTTAAATTGTAATGAAAAAGTTTGAATACTCCCTTTACGTATTCCATTAAAATCTACTTTGAAATTGCATTTTTTAAAAACTTTGATTTACTAAATTTGAGATAAAAGATAATCATACTTTGGTCTTATCCTTTATTTTGCTAAAATAATTACTCATGACCACCTATTTCCAAAAATTTCTGTCAATGCAATTTAAAAATATAAAAGCTAATGAAAATGTCACATACATACCCACCTGCCCAGGGCAGGTCTACACAGGACTCTTACCTGACATTAGTGGTTTTTTGCTCCTGTGAACTTGCAGAAACTCTGGAATCTCTTTTTTCAGATCTAGTGCTAGAAACTGCAAGTGGTAGCACTGCAGCTTCGTGCCTTCTCTCATCTCCCCGACTGAAACTGCTCTTGTTGGAAGGCACGTTAGTATCAAAAATGTTGGTATCAGAAGACTTTAGACTAGAGGGGTCTGGAGAGAAAAACATATGATCCTTTTAAATGATTTTTCTTACTTTGACCCTTCCCCTTCTTCATCACCAATTTTAAAGCAATACATATTCTTCCACAATATTTTTAATGGCTGAATGTTATTCCATACATAGTAATATGATAATTTATTCAATCTATTATTACTGGACTTTTAAGTAATTTTCAATTATAAAATATTAAAACATCCTTGAGACTAAATTGTTGCACACTTCTATAATTATTTCCTTAGGCTAAATTGCATGGCCTCCTTCCCTTCTTTAAATTATCTTTGAATTGTATTAAATTTAGTGCTCTTACATTCACAAAATATGTGCTTCCTAAAGAAGTTCAAATGAACTACTGTTTACAAATTTATGTCCCCCACCCCACAATAGTTCGACTTTAGAAAGAAAACCATTAGGGCCAGCCGAGTGGTGCGTTGGTTAAGAGCTGGCTTGGGATGCCAGCTCTGAGCAGCAGGGCCCCGGTTCGGATCCCACATGAGGGCCAGTGACACTGCGCCCTCTACAGCTAAGATGGTGAACAACAGCTTGACCTGGAGCTGGGCTGCCATGAGTCGCCAGTGACGGCATGGGCTGCAGCTCCTCCTGCAGTGGGCTGCCATAAGTTACCGTGTGTGGCTGGCAGCCAGCATGAGCGGCCGGCAGTCGGTGTGAGCTGCCAAGAGCCACGGTGAGCGGCCGTCCAGAGGCCAGTGACAGATCTGCCTCACCAGGGAAGAGCACAATGATAATATCAACATGGGCCAGTGAAGCAACGTCCTCCACAACTAGACTGAAGAACAAAAACGACAGCAACTTGTCTGTTCCCCTTCCCCAATTCCCCAGCACTGTTCCCCTTCCCCAATTCCCTAATAAAATCTTAAGAAAAAATTTTTTTTTAAAAATCATGCTATAGCAAGTTAAAAAAAAAAATTTTTTATGACTCTTACCAGTTGTAACAGAGCGAAGTTTATCTAGTACACCATGAAGCCTAAAATAAAAAACAAAAAAAGTTTAAAGCTTCCTTTTAATCAAGAAAGACTTATTTCAATTGTCACTAAATTACATGACATTATAGAATCGATCTTCAGATACATACTGACAAATGATACTAAATGGTACTTAATGGATAAATAGTATTAAAATTAATTTTTAAGTTTCACATTTTAATAAAAGGGTTTACATGACTGGTAAAAGCCAATCAAAAATCCTATTTGTTCATCACTATTTTCAATATCTAGTCTCTGTGAAAATGAGGGCAAGGATATGATATGACCACAGAGTCTTGTCTACAAAGAATGTCACTGTGTTTCATAAGGATTAAAGACTCAATGTAAGTTATAGTAAAAAGTATAAATATCACAAACATGTAATATAGCTTACTATGACAACTGTTTAAGTACAATTTAAATTTATCTACTTATATCGTTTCTGAAATAACTTAATTCTGAGGTGAAAAAACTTAAAAATCTCAAAATAAACTATATCACTTCACTTTAACTATTAATACGAAACTAATGCTGTAAACAAGCAAGACTACAACCTTGTTTGTGATATAACCTATTTTAGTAGTTACACACAAGACAAATTTGCTTACAATCCTTCCAAGAGGCCATGCCTCCTGAAGCACCAGAAATAGCTCATTAAGTTTCTCCCAGAACCAAGTCACATGCCACTGTCCCCTAGGACACAATTATTTCAGGGCTCCAAAGAATCAGAATAGTCTGAGGTTGGTGTCAAGGAACATTTAACTTAGGAAGGCAAATTACCAAAACAGAGACACCACCACTCGCATCATCAGTACATGTTAAAGAACTGAATTCATGGCAAGTGAGAAAGTTGAATTAATTTAATTTTAAATTCAGATTCTGTTAGTAGTCTGTTTATGTAAGAAATTTGTCTAATGCATTCTATCATTATCTGAGAAAGGATCTACTAAGTCAATCTCCCATATTCTATTAGTGGGAGTCAAACCCAAAGTGATCCAAAGGTTGAACCAGAAATCAGGTCATAAAAACGTGCATGAAACAAATACCAGGACTACTGGAGGCTTTAAAACAGTACTCATGAGAATGGTAATTTCCTCAGTCAAAACACCATCTCTTTTCTTGGGTAAATTCTGGGAACAATCTGTAACAAGTGGTTTAGGTCACCCACGCTGCAGCAGTTTATGGACCAAAACATTTGACTGACCAATGTACTCCATGTTGTTCAAAATTGTGCAATATAAAGAATTCTGCGTGAATTTTAAGAAAGCTCCACAAGAGTTGTAAAGTATACATTTAGCTGCTGAGACAAAAACACTTTCAAAGACAAACTTTTGGTTTAAAGGTAGGAAGTGAACAAGTTTCCTTCCCCTCCTCAGTGCCTCCTACTCCCCCCCCCCCCATTAATTTGAATCTTGCCATTCAAATTAAGACGCTCAGCTCACTCACCTTTTGTTCCATCACCAACTTGTGCTGTAACTGGTGGTTCCCAGCATGAGGGCTCTGATGAGTTTCTGCTAGTCTCAGCCACATCATTAACCTTATCCAGCCCTCGGTTTACCTCAAACCTGGTACCAGAACCTGGCCTGCCTTCTTAAACTGAATCTTACGCTGTCAGTATTCTAACTAAACAAGTATGTGGTTTGAAAAAGTTAATAATATTAATTTACATTTGAACATAAAGTTACCTATTTTAAAGTTCTAAACATTTAAGAAATAATTTGAAATATTGTCAAAAAACCTTGGCCCCTAAGAGTTAACTCATTGGAGAAAGCAATTTGGGAAGTCAACCCAGTCCAAAAAATATCTGCAAATGGTTTTGGTTAGAGGAAAGTAATAAGATGTAGAGGTTTACAAAAGAAACATAGTAATTACAGTTAACATGTACTAAGGACTTGCTATGGGCCAGGCACAGCTGTAAACACATTACATGTATTAGCTCATTTAATCCTCACAGCATCCTGTAAAGGTGATTTACTATTCCCATTTTACAAATGGAGAAACCAAGGCAAGAGGCAGATTCAGGATTCCACCTTGGCAATCTGGCTCCAGAGGCTGCGCTGTCATCACTCACAACCTGCCTCTCCACACTGAATCTCACTCTCCTGTCAACGGCCTCTTTTCAGACAGAATAGCTACTCTGACTTGTGCCAAGCTTTGGTCTAAGGGATAAACATTCAGAAACATACCATACGGTGAATCGAATTGTGTTGTTCCCTAGAAATAGGGACAGGTCCTCTGTCATTTGCTCCTGACTTTTCTTGTTGGCCACCATCACCATAATGTAATCAGGAAGTTCTTCATCTATTTAAAAGGAAAAGTATATAAAAACTTTTTTATGTTTTCCTCAATATTTTCTTCTACTTAAAGCTGATTTGCTTGAAAATATCGATGTAGATTTAAGAATATCTCAGCTCTACTTGAACTACATTGGGCAAGAAAATACAGCTTTCTCCCCCCCCCCTCTTCCTTCTATTACGTATTTCAATTACTAGGATGGGAAATGGAAAAAATAACGGATACTTACAAAACTAGTACCAATTAATAGTACCATATTTGAGAGTGTACTCATTTCCTTGTGCCTTAATAAAGCTCATTAATTTCAGAGAAGCCTCCAGAAAGCATAGGGACATTCCTCAAGAATAACTGAGTTTTATTTAGTGTTTGTTTCAAAATGATACTCAATTCTCAAAACACCTTTATCCTTCGCAAAGCTGGATTTCAATTACTCAGGGTAACAAACTTACAGCAACGTGAAATAAACTAAAACCACCTAAAAACCCCACTTGATTTAAAATTTTCAATCTTAAAATTAAATAATTTCAACTCATTGTTTTAGCCTAATACCCTCCTACACAGTGCTCATGAGGGTGAGGTCTGAGAACAAAATCAACACCACCAAAAATGACCAAAGAAAGACGGTAAGGAAGCAAAAGCCATTTATCAGGAACTCCTACACAGACACACACAGAAATTCCTTTAATTCCTCAAATACTCATATTTCTAGGTAGGAAGAAAGGTTCATTTCAGAACTATCAGACATTTGTTTCAAGGAGAAATATTAAAAATCCAGTTCAAGAAAAGAACAAATATATTGAGAAAGTCCAATCTACAAATGGAGAGAAATCAGACTATCTGATGGAAGCGTGCAATATGATGAGCCGAGATACAAGTAAGGACAAGTAGCCAGTCATTTATTTTCTTTGTAGAGTATCAAAAGGCTCCCATTGCTTTCTGGAAATTTTAGTAAATAACCCTGGTACTTTATTTATGCAAAGTGTACCTCCTATGGGCTGCCAGCAGCAACCCAGGAAAGGTCAATAAATAAAAAAGTTGAAGTGCTTTGGCAGTCATGAATTTTTCTCTCATGATGTAACAAAAATGAATAGACTGTGCTGTCAATGTATGTTAGTTTTGCATTTTCTGAAATCTTATATAAATGAGATCAGTGGTTGCCAGGGTACAGGGTGGGGTCGGGAAAAGGTGACGGGAGGGAGACACCATAATCAAGCTAATGAACATTCATACTGAATTTTGTTAAGCTCGTACCCAGGTTTCTAACAGGCTCAAAATTTTTGGTGTGAGACTTTTGACTAATGATAGGAATCACGAGTAAGAGTGAATTTAGATTCAACATGTTTGTGCTTTCATTTGCTAGAATTAAGAAAATTCTCACTGTAGGTTTTCTGTGGAGTTTTAAATTGGGAAATTGGGGGAGGGGAACAGTGTTGGGGAATTGGGGAAGGGGGACCAGCCAAGCTGTTGTTCTTCAATCTTACTTGTGGAGGGCACCAGTCACCCTCTGACTGCCCGTCGGCAGCTTGTGGCCTCTAAGCTCAAGGTGCTGTGTTACAATCTTAGTTGCAGGTGGGCGTAGCTACCATCCCACGCTGGAGTTGAACCAGCAGCCTTGTTAAGAGCACACACTCTATCCACTGAGCCATCCAGGTGGTGGCTCTGCTCAAGGTGCCGTCTTAGTTGCGGGAAGGCGCAGCCCACCATCGAAGAGGCCGTCTTGTTGTTAGGAGCATGTGCGCTCACCAGCTGAGCCATCCTATCACCTGTTGGAAGCTCAGCAGCAGCTCAGCTTGGGCGCAGCGTCACTGGCCCATGTGGGAATCGAACCGGCGGCCCTGTTGCTCAGGGCTCAAGCTCTTAAGCTAACTCTTAACCAACTGAGCCACTCGGCCGGCCCTCATCCTGCACTTTTAATGGATCTTTTACCCTTGTGTAATTTTGTATCATGCATTGGTCATTTGAAAAATACTGGTTCCCTGAGCTATACAAACCACTGACATGTTGATACATTTCATTATACAATATAAAAGAATCATTTGTTAATACCACCACTGATTTTATCAGAAATTCTTTGAAGTACTGAGAAGCTGTCAAGTTCATGGAGGCAGACACATATTTTCCAAAACTTTAATTTTTATTTGAAGCCTCAACTTTTGTCATTGGCAGCAAAGTCTATCAGTTCTTCTCCTCTGGTCACTTTCAAGAAAATGTCAAATACCCAAGTGTACGTAACTAGCTTGTCAGTCCTTCTTAGAAGTCAAAAATGATATTCCATGAAAAGGGTAGCTACTTCAGTTCTCAACGCGAACACTGACACAAATCCTTTTCCTTAAGACAACCAATCATGCTTCAGCATATGACAGAATTATTTTATGAATACTTCCTATTTCCTCACACTGCATATTAAAAAGATGAATTCAAGGGCCAGAATTAAAAAATATATTTTACTGCTTTGTAAATGACATTCTTAGGTGACACTGGCTTTTTATTTTTTAAATTGCAAGTGGAGAGATGGTGAGAAATATGATTTCTCGTAGAGTTCGGTGTGAGATCTTGATTTCCTGATTCAGGGTAAAGTACTGGCAGATCGTGCTTTTGCACAATCCAAGTGTCACACAGTGAAAATGGCAAGTACGCTGTCATATTAATATGAAAATAGTTTTGACTTCAGAGACTCTTGGGGTCTTTCATGCCTTAAGAACCACTGTTGTAAGTGATATAGCTATTATTTCCATATGAGGCACCAGCTTTGGAGCCCAACAAACTCAGGTCTCAAGCTTGGTGAAGAAAGCACTGAAAGCCTCAGTTTCCTTGCTTGTACAACTGGGGATATTACCACTTACCTTCCAGTGTTCTCCTGAGGATTATCATGACCTAATGCATATACAATGATTAAGCAGAGTGCCTGGCCCAGAGTAAACGCTCAAATTATAAACCATAAAAGAATAAAGAGAAAGAAGACACATTACTGTCAGGAGGTAGAGAGAAAGGAACAGGAAAAAACAGAGGTCTGAAAATAAAACTCACTGAACCATGACAGAGGCAAATGCCAGAAAGCATCAAACATTCATATGCGAAATAATTCTGAAAAATGGTGATCAGAGGAAATGCAAACAGGAAAAATAACTTCAGGAACTTCAACAGAGAACACCAAGCAATTTCAATACAACATATTAGAAGGGGGCTTGAGGAAAAAAAGAGTCGCATAAGGAGCTTTCGATAAAAAGATGGTAAGGCAATGAATTATCCAGGGAGTATCACATTTGACAGTAGAAAAGGGTCTCTCCAAAGTCCAAAGCACGATGGGAAAAATGCACTCGGTAAATTTTAATTAGCTGCAACCTCTAAATTCTATTAGGCAAAACTGCAAAACAACTTACCAACATAAGCTCCTAATTCTTGTAATTTTCCCTTAATGGCACTCTGAGGGGGGGAAAAAAAACGTGCGTGTGAGAAAGGTGGCCCTTGGAAAACAAACCGACTCAAAAGTGCAGAGGCAACTTTGCCCGTGCACGAACCTCCTGCCCCGCTCGGCGCCCGGGTGGGGGCGGAGCGACGCTACGGCCCTCTCCCCTACGGTGGCCCCCTCCCCTATGGCGCCCCCCTCGAACAGCGACCCGAGAGCGGCTCACTGCGCAGCTGTGGGTGGCTCTCCGGGGCCCCCTACATACGCCTCCTTCCGTTTCCCGGCGGCTACTTCTCTAGCTGCGGCCCCATTTGCCCACCGCGCTCTCTGAAGCCGCGTCTGCGCCCAAGCCCAGGAGGTCCGGCCGAAGAGGCGCCACTCACCGGACCCGCGGTGGGTCCGGAGCGCTGGGCGGCGACCAGGCCGCGGCGTCCAGGCCGGGCCCACCATCCCCGTTACTCCTGACAACCGCGCGCCCGCCGAGGCCCGGCTTCCCGCCCCCGCCCGACGCGGGTCTCACCCGGATCTTGCGGCTTATCTCGGTGCCGATTTCCATGGCTCCGGGGCGAGCGATGAGTCCAGCACGACACGTCGCTTCGCTTAGCCAGAGCCCGGAGCCGGCTCACACAGCTCGCAGCCGAGCCGCAGCCACAGCCACAGCCACAGCCACAGCCACTGCCGCTCCTGGCTGCGCGCTCTGCGTGACCCGCCCCTACCGTCCCAGCGCGCCGGTGCGAGCCGAGCGGAGTGCGCCTGCGCCTGCTCCTACGCCTGCGCTCACCTGGCCGCGGAGCCTGCGCTGCGGCGCCCTCTGCCGGCGGCAGGAAGAGCAGCGGTGCTCGGCCTTGACTTCGGTCTTCCCCTGTGGGCACCTGCAGAGCTATTCATTCTTCCCTTTCCTCGCCCTCATTGACTCATTTTATCCTCTTTGGAAAGCACAAATGAATTAAATGTGCAGCTGTAAGATCTCTGGATTTGGCGTGGGATCCCAATTCGAATCCAGCCTTCACTTACTGTTAGTATGATACTGGTCTAGATGTTTAAACTCTTGAGACCTGTTTTTCTATCTGTAAGATAGAGATTGCCCCCTAGCGGTTGCATTATGATTACATTTGGAGGGAAAACGGAATAGCCTGCGCAACAGACCCAAACCATTATACATTGTCCTTTGTTCGACTCCACGACTTCCCTGGTGTAGTTCTGCCTTCCTTCTCCCAGACCCATCGGTGGCCTTTCCCCAAGATCTAGTCCTCATTTTTCCCCTTTTTCTCTGTACCCCCTTCTTTGTAGAACTCTTTTAGTCTCAGGATAACAACTCTTACCTCGGCGCTAAAAACTGACTTGTCCATCAGCCCTGATTTCTCACCTAAACCCCACTCCCAAATCCAGATAACTACAGGCGTTTGTATTTTCTCCAAATTCAGCACATCATCTTCCCCTTAACCCACTCAGACTGGATTCTACTCCTTATGTCCCTATTTCTACGAATAGCAGCTTAATTATCCCTCTTCCTGATCATAAAACCTTGGCATCAGAGTAAGCATAGACAGAGAAGTCTCCTTTCTCTACCATATAGACTAATTCCTGAAGTGGTCTTTCTTAGTTATCCATTGCCTCATAGCAAATGACCACACACTTAGCAGCTTAAAACACACGTTTATCATCTTGTGGTTTCCATGGGTCTAGACTCTGAGCACAGCTATGCTCTGGGTTTCACAAGGCTGCAGTTGGGGTGTCAGAGAGACTGTTCTCCCCTGGAGGCTTAACTGAGGAAGAAGCCATGTTCAAGCTCATTTAGGGTGTTAGCAGAATTAATTTCCTTGCAGCTTAATGAGTGAGGGCCCCAGCATTTCCCTCAGGTCTTAAAGGTTGTCCACAGTTCCTTGCCATGGCCTCCTCCCACGTGGCTGTTTACTTAAGTCCTCAAAGTCTCTCAGCTCAGAGAAGACCCAGTCCCTCTTTTAAGGGCTTTCACTTGATTAAGTCAGTGTCTGACTGTCCCCACCCCCCAATCAGTTGATTTAGGGCTTTGATTATATCTGCAAAAGTCCCTCATCTTTGTCATATTCACTAGCTACAAGCAAGTCACAGGTGCTGCCCACATTCAAGGGAGGGGATTATACAGGATGTGAACAGCCGGGACAGGAATCATGAGGCCACCTAGGGTCTGTCTGCCTCGTGGCCTTTCATCTCATGTCTTTTTTAAAATTCTGAATTCCTATAGCATCTATGTGGGAGCTACTAGTATGACACAATATAGTCTGTAATGTTTATTTTATTTGTGTGTGTGCGCGCATGCTCGCGTGCTTGTCCTCTCTAGCAAAACTATAAACTCTGTGTAGGTTTGCATTTCTCCAATGTGTCTTTCAGGACAGTAGATACATGGTATGCACTTATTAAATATTTGTAGGATAAGATAAGTTAATGACTAAATTGCAAAAGCATTCCTCATGGATAAATTCAGTGATCATGTACTCATTCAACATTGATGAGAAGCAGCAGAGCAGAGTCACTGAGAACAAGGACACTGGAGCCAGACTGTCTAGGTTTGAATCCCAGCTCTGTAACTCCCTTTGAGACCTTACGCAAGTTGTTTATCCTTTTTGTGCCTCAGTTTCCTTCTCTGTGACATTAGTATGATACCAGCTTCTCCTTCGTTGGATTATAATGAGGATGAAATAAGCTAGTGTTTGGGAAGCGTTTTGAACTGTGCCTGGCTCATAGCAGCACTATGTTTGTTGATTAAAAATTAAATGCCTCTCCTGAGCCAGATACTGTGCTAGGAGTGAGAGCATAAGATGAGTAAGACCGGGTGCCTACATTCATGACACAATCCGAAAGACAGGCACATGGTCTCTGTGTGTTGACCCACCGTTTCAGAACTGAGAATGAAAACACATGTTTTGCTATTCCTGTATACAAAATGTTTAGTCAATATTTAGATCATATTGAAAGAACGTGTTACAAAGAATAGAGATTGCTTTCATTAAAATGTATTCAGAATAGGGAAACTTTTATTAAAATGTATTCAAGAAAAGGTTAACTTTCAGGATCATCCATTTAAAACTATGGACTGCGAGCCCTGCAGACTGCTTAAGAACTCGCATGTTTAGATCTCAAGAGTTACAGTGTCTGGATCACAGAGGGGGCAACCCCACTAAACCATTGGTGTCCAGTGGGCTGACACTGTTCCCGGTGCTTCGCTGTAAGATGCAGCTTCACAAACTATACGTCATCCAGAGAAAGATGATCATGATGGTGCCCTAAGAGAAACCATTTAAAGGGTATTCAGTTAGAAAAAGACTAGGCTGGACCATGAGAATTCTTTTCCAGCATGGAGGGTCTCTCCACTTCAGGAGGACTGACATATTTTGCTCTAGGGGATAAAATGAGGACTAGATTTCAACGCACCACACTGCTGACTAAGAGGATTCCGGGCTGTCTTTCGAAGACAGATGACTAAAAGCGTAAGTTTTGAAGTCATAGAGGCTTGAGTACTAACCCCAACTCACTGGAGTCCTGAATCTTCTTAACACTGGCCCCCTAGCATCTCCAGCCTCCTCTCCAGGTAGCATTCCAGCTGGATATTGAACATTCTTTGTAAGTATGTGTTGGGGGTGGGCAGAGGTGGGGATCTGGGGGTGGTTTCTTCAGCCTGGAATGCTTTTCTCTCTCTCTCTCTTTTTTTTTTTAATAATGAACTTTTACTTGTCGTTCCATATTTAGCAAGAAGCTGATCACAGTGATAAACCAGGCCTTACCACTCCACTTAGAATATATACCTATTAGATATTCATTTCCCTACTGTACTAGAATTAGTCACCTGTTTCTCACATGGTGAGTCTTTTGAGGACAGGGCTATGCATCCTATTTACCTTTCTCTCTGCAGATTCTGGCTTCCAATCAATGTGGGGGGCAATGGACAAGTTTTTACAATAGTGACTATCTCCCAGCATGTCTGCCCTTGGATGAAAAGCCCTAAGTGTTGGGAATTATAATCACAGTAGTCACTTTTGCTACTGAGGCTGACATATTTTTATCAATTTTCACGTCGATTTGAGCAAATATATTGCCAGCACTCTCATTTCGCTGATTTCCAGGGAAATCTAGCCTCTAAATTCTCACTCTTCTGTGGCTGAAAAAGTGCTGCACCTGAGATGGTGTTGAGCGTGGAAGATGGAGCGCACAGTGAGGATACAGAGACAAGGAGATTTCACCTGTTTAGCCCTCGCCCCCCAGGCATCATTGTCTCTGTGAGGTGGGGCCATCATTCAAGTTAGATTCCTGCACTGGATGGTAATTTATACAGTGAGGGACAATGGGTGCTCACCAAGCCGTCACAGCAGATTAATTTCTTACCTCCCGAGAAAGTATTGGTCAAGGCTCCACCCAAAGTGCACTTCCTTCGCTTTCACTGAGCATCTTTTTAGTACAGGACTTTCTTTTTTAAATTTAAATTTATTTTAATAAGAATTACCTTCACACAAAAAGTATTTATAATATGCCATTTTCCAAGTAAACGAGGATGAGGATGTGAAGATGCATTTACGGAATTGCTTCTTTAGTTCCAGAATAACTCTAGATGGATACATAGGATTATGGCAACAGTGCTTACCCCCAGGAGGAGAGCTGGGTGTTGAGCAGCTTTCAGTTATGTCCTTTTGTACCTTTTAGGGGTAGAACCATATAAATTACTTCACTTCCTTCCATACAAACATAAGCCAATAATTTCGTGGCTAACATTTTGAAGGGGTTATTCAAGTGGCTTCTCATGGGGATGCTACTGTCCAATTAACATGGTTGAGGGAAAACAGCTTAAGTACTTGGTCAGCAAGTGACACGTGGACTATGCAGGAGGACGTTCAGCTCAGTTGTCTAACATGGCTTGGGCTTTATGATCATTTTCTATTTTTAAAATTCTTTTATTTTCTTCCCAATTCAATTAACAAGTTTTTATTTAGTGCCTACTCTCTGCCCAGTAGTGTCCTAGGAATTCTGGGAGATATAAAAGAAGCCTTCATGAAGCAGTTTTAAAGTTCTTGCCAAATGTGGAGATCACCGTGGAAAGAAAGTTGTCATGGAAGCAGAGGCTTGAATTGGGGCTTGGAGAGAAACAAGGTTTCGACAAATGGGAGGGCGTGGGGGCCGCAGGTGCTCCCGCCAGCAGGGCATTCAGAAGAGAAAAATAAGATGGTGGGAGAGGCTGAGGCCAGTTTAGAAAGGTCCTAAAGGTCAGGCAGAAAAGTTTAGCCTGGGGGGGTCCACTGGGAGTGTTAAACCCAAGGAAGACGTAAGCCTGGTATTAGCACGAAAGAAGAGAGAACTGGGAAGCAGGAAGTAAGACCACCCTTGTTGCAATAATCCGGATGTAAAATTATGAGGGTTTGGATTAGCATGGGTGGGGGCACTGAGGAACAGAGAGGAAAGAAAGAATTCCTGAGACATTACAAAGGAGGAACTATCAGGTCTTGATGATAGGCTGGATGAGAAAGGGAGAAGAATCACACATAATTTCATTTTTTCTAGTTTAGGAGACCAGAAAAGTGACTCATTTTCATGTCTATCCTCACACACAAATTGATCCCCCTCATAATGTCCAGTTGAAATATCAATTACAAACAGAATCGATGTATTTTTTTTCCATTCGAAACACAGGTAATCTTATTTGCTTGGAGCTCCGTGACCCAACCTGAACCTTGCCCAAGTATTGTTCTCAGTAGCACACACTACGATGGTTCTCAGCACTTCGGCCTTGTTTGTACTGTGCATGTGTGGTGAGTGTGTTTACCACCCACTAGACCAGAGTCCTCCGTGTGCAGGGATCATGAATTACGCATAGTTAGTACTCAGTGTCTGTCAATTGTTGAAGAATTAAATGAGATTTAAAAGAGATGTAACATAAAAAAAAGCTTGCCAGAAACAACAGTATTTAAAAAAATCATTTGAATTAAAATTTACATAATAAAAGTTTTTCTGCTCCAAACACTCAAACCACATGTCAAATAAAGATCCAACGCCCTGTTGTGATGGGGTTAGGGTTACAGTTTTATTCTTTGGCCTAAGTGTTGCCATTCAGTAATAATAACAGTCTAATAATACTGTGTAATATTAATCATTGCTAGTAGGGCCTAGAGTTAAGTGAAACACTTCACGTATATTTAATACAAGTTACTGGATAGTGATTATTATTATTCCCATTCTATCGGGGTGGAAGCAGCCACAGAGAGGTTAAGAAATTCTCACCAGGTCACCCAGGTAGCAGGTGTTGGCGCTGAGATTTGAACCCAGACAACCTGACTCTGAAGTCCCCATCCTTAGCAGCCGTAACTTTGTATTGCATATGCGTACAGCTTTTATTTTTGGAGACGGTCACGTTATTTGAGGCATATCAATCCCTTCTGGATAAAGGGGACTTTCCCACCCAGTACTGCTCAAGAGTTTTTCCCTTTTTATGGGGTATATCCTTAGACGTGGTAAGCATGGGAGGAAGAAATATAATAAGAGTGTTTGAATCGTTTTCGTAAACGTACAAGAGCAAACGAAACACTCCAGCAATAACAGCATTTTACAGACCACTTAACAACACAGGATTAAAACCCTTTACCTGGAACCGAATATCCCTCTCCCCTCATTTTTATTAAAAGCCTTGCTTTATTTGGAAACTCTTAAAATAAGTGGTCATATGATTAAAAAAAGAAGCGGCGCGCCCCCTCCCCGGCGGCCGGGCGCAGCTGTCCGCGCCTCCCCCGCGCCCTGCCGCCCGCATTCCAACTCTCTGAGGTCACGGGCCGCCGCCGCCTCCCCGGATCCGTCCGCCCGGCCCAGGGGGAGGGACGCCTGGGCCCGGCTGCTCCGCTGCTCGGGCAGCGCGTCCCGTGCCCGTGCGTCGGTCTCCCTGCCGCCCCGGCCCCCGCGCGCTTTCTTTGTGCGGTGCCCCTGGCCGGCCGGTGCCACCTCCAGGCCTCTCCCCTTGCCGCGGCCGCCGCCGGACTCTGCCCAGGGGAATGGTCTGCGGGCCGAGATTTTGGAGACAGGAAGTGAGGCTTGCGAGCCCCATGAGCGCGCCGCGGTGCGGGCGCGGCTGCGGCGGCCGCGCGGCGGGCCCCCGGGAGGCGGGCCGCTGAGCTGGGCGCGCGGCCCCGAGGATGCGGGAGCGGGAGCAGGTGAGGGCGCGGGGCCCCGGCCGGCGGGCGGGCGGAGAGCGGGCGCTCGGGTCCAGCGGAGGGGTGTGCCCGCCAGCCGGGACCCCGAGCGCGTCGGCCAGCCCAGGAGTCCTGAGGACGGGTCCCGGCTACGGACCGATGGCAGGAGAGTAACAAAGAGAAGTTTTCCTTTTCCAGGTTCTTTCTGATCTACTTGAGTAATTTCTAAAGGGGGGTCTTGAACGTCTGGTCTGAACTCCTCGGCTGATTGTCGCGGCTTAATTCTGGATCACGGTTTTAAAAGTCTTAGGCATATTTTTGCCTCTCGGAATTTGAAGTGCGAAATTCGCCAGATAACTTTGGCGAGAAAGGGAGTAGGGGAAAGGACTGTTTGGTGATGACTTGTTTTGTTTTTGGAGTAAAGCGTGTTTGCTCTGGAAAAAAAGAATTCTTGAGTCTGCAAATTCCGAATTGTGATTTCTGCAAATCCTGATTAGATTGGCCGTTCTTGGCATACTCGTCTTATTTTCTTTTTTGCTGAGAAAGCCTTATAATAATAGCGTATGCTCTCAAACATTCAAAACACTCAAGTGTGCTCCAAGTGACAACCGCTGTATGCCTAATAGTTACTGACAGTTTTTTTCTTAAGCGTCGGATATGACAGTAATTTTACTCTGAAAATAGTTGTCTGTTTTGTTTCTAGGGCATTTTATTCTCGAGTATCTACGCATAAATGTTTGGACCATGAGAAACATACGTTTGATTTAATGCTATAGATCTATATATTATATTACTCTAAAAATGTTGTCTACTCTCTTTTAATGATTATTTTATTTTAAAGCATCATTGGCAAAATTACATGTGATGAGGATCTTAGTGGCGGGGGGGGGGGACTACAGGATTCAGAGTTAAAGTGTATTTGAGAAATTTTTGAAAGGGGATGTGAAGAGAAAAACATTAAAATGAATTAACAAGTATCTGAGACTGTCTTTTGAAAACTTGAACAGAATTTAATATGTATCTATCTTCTGACTACATAACAGAATGGTTTTGTAGAGAAAGTATCTCCTAGTTTTTTCTTTCAAACGCTAATTATGAATTGTTTACTTTAGTAGTTAGGTAATTTATAATTCCAGATCCAACCACCTTTCAAATTACTGCATATATTTTACACCTGAAACAGACTCCCGAAAAAGCATTTTAAATTTCTACTCTATTCAAACATTTATAACTTAAGACATTTAGTAGCAAATATTGTACATAACTGAAAAGATGTGTAAATCATTTATAATTTTTAATTAAGCAGAACATTATTTTAACACAGTAGGTTTTATTAAATATGCAAAAAAACCCCAACCCTACTTTAAAAAAAGTAGGTTTTATGGATAGGCCTGGGGGGGGGTGTACCTAATAACCCCCTCAACTTTTTCAGTTACATTATTTAACATCTACCAAAATAAAAAGAACACGTTGGCTTTTATCACTGATGCTGTAAAACATTTCAAATCTCAGGGACAATTGAAAGTTTTACTCTGCATTTACTTAATCAGAGCTTAAGTTAATAATTAAGTTATATTGTGTTCTATCTCCTGCCTTCAAGGCATAGTTCTATCCTCCTAGTGAAGAAACTACCATATTTGAACACCCTTAATACAAATATTTATCTTTCCTGTGCATATGTGCAGGTATTGTCTCTTCATCTACACTGCTTAATCTGCCCTGTTTCCAGTTACTATAGTTTGTATATAAAATTGAAATCTATCACCTCATCTCATGAAAGAGTATTTAGTAGATATCTTATGTATATACAATATTTTAATTTAATTGTAGCTGAGCCATCCTGCCACCTGTTGGTGGCTCAGCTCGGGCTGGGAATCGAACCAGCGACTCTGTTGCTCAGAGCTCGCACTCTTGAGCAAGCTCTTAACCAACTGAGCCATTTGGCCAGCCCCTACAATATTTTAAAATTTATACAAGCACTACTGGCTCATTAGGCAATTTTCTAGTTAAAAGTATTAATGTTTTCATTTCTTGATTTTTTTTTCATTTTGCCTCAAACTATTAAGTTTATACCCTGACAAGCAAAAAGCATTGAAAAGTGTAGGTGGGGAGCATATCTTTTTATAGTGTTTATTTTCTATTTCCCTTCTTAATATGATGCTTTTACCTACAGAAGGCACTCAGCAAATGCTGTTAATTAGCAGTGCTTTCGGTGGTTTCAGTTTTCTTTGTTCTTCTGGCCTTCCTCCTTTATTCCTTGCTTTTAATATTATTTATTTATTTATTTACTTATTTACTTACTTATTTCCTGGGGATAATAAGAGCTCAAAAACCAAAACAAAACCAACACACACACACACACACACACACACACACACACACACACACACACAGCCAGACAGAGAGAAACATGGTTGGGTCTTTATTAGAGACACAGCCCTGTATGTAATTATAGCATGCTTGTAATCTCCTTAAGGGCAGCAACGGCTTAGATTAGTTTTAGATTTCTCACAATGCCCATTCAACTGCCTTGTACTCAGAGATGCAATACACTTTTGTGGAATGGAATTAAAAAATGTTACGTTTGGGAAAACCTAGTGTAATAGCTAACCCCTATTTTCTAGCTCTGCCACCCCGAGCCCTGAGTGCCCATCACCTCTGGGGCTGAGACGCAGTCAGGAGACCGGAAAAGAGGAGTGGGAATGAAAGGTGTGTGCTCGATTCCCAGCTCTGCCCGTTCTCGTGTGAAGCTGAGAAAGCTGCTTCTCCCGAGGCTCCTCCGTGCGGCTCCCGACCCTAGTTCAGGGCATCCAGCCACCCGCAGGGGCAGCCTCTGCTCAGAAGAAAACGGAGGGTGGGAACTATCCCGGGATTCTGGAAGTATCCGGGATTTTGTCAGTTCGTTTATGGGGAAAAAAAATCCAGCCAACGTAAAAATCCCCAGTTGCTCACACACAGTTTGCTTCAGTCTTGGAGTTACCATCAACAGGTGTGATTAAAAACGTTGTAGATCGTGTATTTTGGAGCCCTGAGGCGCCACACCGGGAATCAAACGGGCCGCGCCCACAACTCCCTCCAGCCTGTGGGGGCTCCAGCTGGGTCCTTTAAAAGTTCCCTCCGGGAGCTGCCGGGCCGGACCTGCCCGAGCGCGTCCGTCCGGAAACGCAGCCGCGGGTGGAGGGTTCCGGGCCTTCCGAAGCTGCACGTTGGGCAGGCAACGCCGCCTGCTTTTTACCCCGGGAGGACGCGGGAGGAGTTAGAGCTCCCGCTCTGTGTTCCTTTAGCCTCATGGGCTTGCTGAGCCTCGTCCTCCCTCCCTCAACACAGGATGGCGTGTAAAGGTCTCGCCCGCCTCTTCTGGGCTCCGCTTAGGTGAATGCTCACCGCTTCTTTAGGCGACCCCACCCGGAGAGGAGCCGGGCCACGCTTTACAGAACTTCCATGCATCTATCTGGTGGTATAACAAGTAATTGTAGGCTCTTTTATCAGTTGTTTAAATCAATTTTGTGACGTGATATTCATAAACCAAAAGGGCTCTATAAATGCTTGTTACGCGCTTCACCTCCTTTGAACCGTTTGCACAGCTGCCATATGTTAGAGGGGATTATTGCTCCCCATTTGGGTTCAGGGTGAATTTGCCTTTTTAGGACTGAGACTTGAACATAGCTCTTTTGGAGGTGTCTTGTAGTTATCTCACCTAAGGACTGAAGAACCCTGACGTTTGGAGTATTGAGGAGCCAAACAGAGTGTACTATGAAAAAACAAACAAACACGAAAGCATCTAAAATATAAAGAGGACCACTGATGCTAGCTACTAAATTTGGGGTTATAGTAGTGTCAGCCATTATCTCATTTAATCCTGAAGACAGCCGCAGGTGGTTGGTACCACTGTTTGTAGGAATGAGTGACTGGTGGAGTCTGACCCACGGTCTAATACAGCTCTGATGATAAACTTCTCCACTGCCTCCCAGCTCCTGGTAATGCCTGCTTTTTCCAGAGGAGAGGCAAAGCTTCTTCTTCGGCTACTGCATTACTGATGTTTATTTTGAAAAGCAAAGTCCAAAGTTGCCATTGCGCTTGTAACCAGTGTGTTCCTCTTGCTTCAGCACTGGCGTGGATGCTCCCTTCACCTGGCCCTTGGAGACTCAGTTGCGTTTTAATGGAGGCAGCAGCTGCTGGGTGAGCAGCTGGAGACTGTACAGCGCTCCTCCTGGCAGGAGAGGATCGCGCTCTTCCTCCGTCACCACCACTGCATTGGTGGCGGTGCTTTTCCCTCTTTACCCCTCCACTCTCGAAGAGAGAAGATGCCACTGCCATTTGGATTGAAACTAAAACGTACCCGGCGCTACACAGTGTCCAGTAAGAGCTGCCTGGTTGCCCGGATCCAGCTGCTCAATAACGAGTTTGTGGAGTTCACACTATCTGTGGAGAGCACTGGCCAGGAGAGCCTGGAGGCGGTGGCCCAAAGACTGGAGCTGCGGGAGGTAAGCTGCAAAAAAGGCTGCCGGCTCCTCTGGCCTGGCTTCGCTCCTTACTTCTCAGCCACTTGAATGCATGCTGGCTGTGGGTTCTCAAAGCATGTTCTTGGCCATGATATCTAAGTTGAGCCAGCAAGTCCCCCTTCCCATAGGAAGGAATAGATACAGAACAAGAGGTCTTTCCTTGGGGATACCTCATAAGAGAAGGAAGAGTGCCCGAGTTTTGAAAACGTTTCTGTGTTTTCCCAAAATGTAATTCAAAATCAAATATGAATGCATTTGGGATTATCAAGGTCTTGTTTTCTAATATAATTCCAAATGGGTCATCCTGATCTGGTACAGCTTATTAACTTCATTCAGTCATTCAGCATTTATTATTTTCTACAGGCCCGGCCAAGATTCTAGAGACATATTGCCTGAATTTGAATTCTGGTTTTTTTCGCCAACTAGTTGTTTAACCTTGGGTGAGCTATGTAACCTCTCTGGGCTCCAGTTCCCTCATCTGAACCATGGAGATAACAGTGGTGCCTACCCGTCAGAGTGGTTGTATGAGTAAATGTGCACGTAAAACCAAGTTCTAATAACTAGTCTGTTATAGTAATTGTAAGGCAGTTTGCCCTGGAAAACCCTTATCTAGTCACTAGGAAGTTGTGGGCTCATCAAGTATCTACACAATGTCTTAAATTTAAAATGCTATGGAAGGCCTGTGAAGAATAGGGCTTTAATTAAACCTAGGACTCTTTCAGCCTTTTGCCGCCTGGTTCTAGGGTAAGAGAAAGATGGAGAAACTGGTTATTCTACATAAATGCCCGAGTTATATTTCTAACTGGGAATCCCACTGATGTTATAAAAAGTTCATACAAAGTCAGGAATAGATAAACTGTGCCTTTGATGACCATCCAGTCATTTCATGATTTGTATCGAAAACTTATTAATTGACAAGCACATATGTATTAGGAGTTTACCCTAGTGTTGATACCAGTAAGGCCTGATTCATGCTATCATAGGGAAGTAGAGGGTGCTACAGACAATAGGGAAGGACGGCAAAGGGAAAACTTCCCCGGGCAAGTGATGTCTGAGCTGGCACCTGAAGGGGCGGGGTGGTCCTATCAGGGGCTGGAAAAGACTTCCAGTAAAGCAACTGGACAGGGCCAAAGACATGAGGCAGGTGATCTACCTGAAGCCTGAAGTGGGGAGAGGAAAGGCTGAGAGCAGGGGTCCATGTAATTCGGGGTTTTTGTTCAAGGGTTTGGGCTTGTCCTGAAAGTAATAGGGAAGTTAGTGAAGGGTTTGTAAACAGGGGTCTGATATGGTTGTTTGTTTTTTTTTCAAAGAGTGAGCCCTCGGGAGAATGATTAGATAGGGGTAGTTGTGGTACAGATCGTGATTACCTGGATTTGGATGGAGATGGAGAGAAATGGGTGGAATCTGGAGATAATTCCGTACCTACCTACCTACCGAGTGTTGGGGAAGAGCTAGCTGGTGGTGTAGGTCGATACTCAGGTTTCCATTCAATGATGAGACTATAACTGAGAGCAGGAGCCTAAAAGGAGGAGTGTGTTTGAGGGGGATAAGGAGAGGTGTGTGGTGAGTTGAGTCCTGGAAGTATTGACTTTGAAATGCCAATTGAGATGTTGAGCAGACAGGCATATGCAGGCCTGGAGCTCGGGTGAGAATCCCAGAGACGTTGGGATCAGCAGCCGAGGTCCCAGCAGCTGGGAGGGAGTACGAGGCTGTCCAGGAGAGGAAAAGGAGAGGTGGCAGACCCCTCAGTGTGACTGGAGGATGGAGAGCCTTGGAAGCAGACAGAAGGAGCAGCCCTAGAGGGAGAAATAAACCAGGAGAGCGAGCCTCAGCGACCGCTCCCGCTTACTTACATTTATTCCATCTTTTTTGCTTCCTTCACCCATTTTTCCTATTTTGGTTTCTTTTTCCTGTAATTTCTTTCTCATGCACCAGGTCTGCCTACAACCACTACAGAGTCAACTTTTTGAGGAACTGTGTGGTTAATTTATTTTTGTCCCCAGAGTACCAGGCATGGAATGTGCTCAGTAAATGCAGGGTGAACGGAACCCATAGACAGTGGCTTCCTTCTCTGCTAGTCAAGAGAAGTTGCTATACCTTGTGTGAGGTTATCAGCCTCAGGAACAAGCAGCTTCATACAGCCGTGGATGTAGAATGAGACTGATTTCTAACAGAAGGGGCGAGTGCTTTGAGAGGGAACGGATGTGGTCCCTAGCTTGAAGTGGGGAGAGAAAAGGCTGGGGCAAAATGTCTTGTTGCCCTGAGACAGGCTGTGCCACTATTTCCAACATTTAACGACAGTCATTGTTAGAAAGTGAGTTTGTAGAGCAAACTTTTCAAAGTTTCAGAAGCTGTGCTCTGTAGCATGTAAACAGATAGCTCAAGCCCCAGGCCTAATCTTACTGAATGACTGTTCAGAAATAACCTGAGTCAGCAACACCTGTTCTGAGTTTGTGTCCATACATCACTTATGAGAATCATAACAAGAGACACTGGTATGTTATCGTACGCTATTCTCCCATCAATCAAACTCAGAACTCTCATAGCACATAGATTTGGCTGACAAGCTTTGTTACTGCCCAGATTTAAATTGGGGGAGAAAATGTCTTTACTTTTCTTGCTTATTGAATACTATTTCACTTCTATAATGACTATCAGGGTTATACAATAATGCCATTATAACGCACCCAGGGGCTTCAATATCTTGGTAGTATTTTTATTTCTTACGTTGGATATGTGGGTATATGATGTTTGTGGGTTTTTTTTAATGTCAGGTATTTTATAATATGCTAAGAAACTAAAAACAGATAGGTTAATATACTTATATCAAATTTAGTTAGATTGTTCACTTTTTTCTAAACTCACCATATTTGAATTGTGGAAAGTAATTTTTAAAAGGGGAAAAAATTATCCTCATTGGAAAATATTGCAGCTCTCTTAGAGAGCTGTTGAAATTCTCTGCATATCATTCATTCTGAATTTCACAACAGTTTTTCAAGGGAGGCTGTGAAAGTCTTTATAGAATTTAAGGGATATGAGAAAACTTTCTAATTTTGAAAGTACAGAGGGTGCAAAAAAAATGTATACCCATTTTAAGAAAGGAAAAAACTGTATTAAAATTGTAATACAATGAATGACACTAGCATTCATTTGATTAACACCATCTTTTGAGCGAACGTCATACTGCACATTGCTACCGTAATTCAATTCAATTTCGAAAAGTAATACATAGATAACATCTCTTAAAATGTGTATATATTTAAAATGTGTATATATTTCAGCACCCTGGTATACATTATAGGGTTTTGATGGAGGTGGTGAGAAAAAAGAGTGTCAGGCTGGGCACAGCCACCCCCATAGGGCACTTCACCTTCATGAAATCAGCACAATCTAGAGCAGAGGTTCTCAACCTTCCTAATGCCACGACTCCTTAATACAGTTCCTTATGTTGTGGTGACCCCCAACCATAAAATTATTTTCGTTGCTACTCTATAACTGTAATTTTGCTACTGTTATGAATCGTAATGTAAGTATCTTTGTTTTCCGATGGTCTTAGGCGACCCCTGTGAAAGGGTCGTTCGACCCCCAAAGGGGTTGCGACCCACAGGTTGAGAACCGCTGATCTAGAGTGAGGTGGTCAGGCTTGAAAACCTAATGTCTCGGAGTAAGACCTGTGTTACCCCAGCTCACTGAGAATGATACATAAGTTTAGTAACTAACGCCGAGCTCTGGAACCGCCAAGTGTCCCCAAGTATGTGTGCCTGCTGGCCAGGCTATGGTCTCCCTGTAGGCAGGCCCATGGGAGCCAGAGCAAAGCAGAAGTTGCTTGGTGAGCATGGAATCAGAGAAGGGAGGTTGCCTTGAAAGCCTTGCATGTCTTCATAAGGGGAACGGTACTGCCTTCTGACCAGCCAGGTTCCTCTGAGTCTCACACCCTTTCTGTGCAGTGCATAGGTGGGCATTGCCTATATTTGCCTCTTGAGAAAGTTGTTGAACAGAGTGGTGAAGCCATTTGCCAGTTGAATCTAACACCTGGGTTTGGACCCCAGGGCTGCCACTTATGAGTTGTGTGACTTTGGGCAAATTTTTTAATATCCCAAGTCCACTGTTTTTTATCTGTTAATTGGGGATGATAATAGTATGCACTTGATGATGGTTGTGAGGATTCTGTGTTAAATGTAAAACATTTAGCAGAGGACTTGGCATTTCAGAAACTCTGAATAAGTGTTCCTCTCCATTGCTGTTATTATTCCGGACTCCATTTCCATGTTGTGGTGACTGGCCAACTTCTCTTCAGATTAACTCTTTTCTGACTTTTGTAAATATCTTTGTTTCTTCCTTTTCCTAAGAGAACACGTGCCTGTTTATAAAATGTTGTATAGTACATACAAGTATAGTGGCCACTTCTTACATTACTAAACAGCTAAATTTTTAATATGCCGTTGTAATTTAGATGTCATATTTGAACCTCTATTTTGATGCCAGCTGAAATTAAATTGTACAATGTCACTGCCTCATTGCCCTCAAAAAACAGAGCTTCAATGGGTTCTTACCTCGTTATTAGCTATTTCTTCCATCTTGCCCTCAACCTAACTCCTAAGGTTAAAAAAAAAGTTTTATGAAATTTTGGATTAAGGTTTATATTATTTCTTTCAGGGTATGCCTTTCTCAAAAATCCTTTTAAAATCTTATATTCTGTTTGATAATCACGTTTTTATCTCGCTGTCATGGGTTTTAATTACATTCATTGCAAACTATTATTTCTTGTATAGGGTGCCTTCCTTTATCTTAAGGTCCTTATTCAGCTTAAGTTGATAGGTGGTGGTGGTTTTTTTAAAAAGCTTTGAATTCTCCAGTTAGGAAACAAAGAAGTTATAAAACCCTGAAAGCCTTTTGAAGGTAACTTTTTCATGTTTTTGCTATGATCCATTATGTATTAGTTTTATAACCTAAATTTTAGAGGGCAGTTTTGTTTCCAGCTA